AATATCACTATTACTCTCCACCAGACTCCAGAGACAAAAACACTCATTTTACTGTTGCTGTTCCACCGCTGCCTCGCTCGGTTAGTTAGTGTTATTGTGTGAGTTTGGTGTTTTAAAGGGTTAGTTTCGTACTAAGCTAGAGTCAGGACACGGTTAGCCTAGCCCCACACTGGGGGGTTGCTCACCAAGAAATAGTTCCAGCATGTAACTCCCCACATAAACCACAAATAGTTGTTTTTACATTTTTGTTCATCCACATGTTAAACAAACCAGATACAGCATGTTAATTAGTGTTTGAACTGTTTCCCCCTCCTTCCTGTTCCAGCTCTGTACAGACTGACGTCCAGCTTCTCTTCTCACTCTCTGAAAGACTCTCTGCTCCCCCACATGGACCAGTGACGGCCCCGCAGCCCACTTACACTATTATGAACAAATAGAATTGATTTTAAGATTTTACTGATTACTTTTATAAGCACGTCGGGTTCCACAGGCTACACAGCAGAAATGTTGAGGCGGTACGCAGCCTGAAGTCCTTCTGGTTGCTCTAAAGTAGATATAGAGATTAATAGACAGAAATAAAGTTTGCAGAATCAGTACCTTCTTCTAAAATCTTAAAACCCACTTGCCTTTATGTAATGTCATATTTGTACTTTATTCTATCCATTTTATTTGTTTTTTTAAATGTATTTATGTATTTATTTAATTATTTCCACGGCTTGTATTTTGCTCTTATTATTGCATTTTTAGTATTCATAATTTATATATTAATTATATTTGTATGTATCACGGCTATCATTTTGCTTTGTCTGTCAAAGAGGTGCTATATAAATAAAGTTATTATTATTATTTCTTTCACATTACGCCATTTGCAATACTGTCAGACAATCTCTCCTCCTCTCCTCCCCTGTCAGCACGGCCTGTGTAGTAACGTGTAGACAAAGTTTAATAAGTACATTTGGCCAGTAAACATTAGACCTGAACAGTGAACACTTGTGTCCATCACAAGGCCAGAACGGGAGCAGCTGTATTCGTACAGTCGTACACTTACAGGCAAGTGCAGGTAAACAAAAACTAGTCCAGGAAAAGCAAAAGTGAAAAATCCAAAAAGGCAACACAGGGAACAAATGAACCACCGGTAAACCAACCAGGAACAGAGAGAGACAAACAACTAAAAGAGGGAAACCACACAGAGAACTGATTAACCAATGAAACACAGGTGAACCTCATCAGGATCAAAACCAGAGACACAGGAGGATCAGAAATTACAGTATAAAACATCATTCTTTTTCTTTTTCATAAACATTTTTAATCATTTGGAGTTTTTTTGTGAGCAGAATATGTTCTGAGTGAGATTTACAGTGTAAAATCATCTTCTCTGGGCTCTCTGGTAGACAAACTGTAACACTGTTTCTAAACTTATTTAAAGACCTCAATATTTTATTACATATGTCGATACTGACATATCTGCTATAAGCTAATATTAGAAAAATAGAGTATGTAAACTGAAAAAATAAACCTAATTGGAAGTCAGGCCTAATTAAGAACTTCTGTGAACTAAGTAACCATTTTAACAAACTCAAACAAAGGTTTTAAGATAGTGTTATAAGTTCTTACGTAGTGATTTTACAGCGTGTGCATTGTAAACATCATGCAAATCCAGCCTTTAGTTTCTTTTTACATATTAAAATATATAAGGTTAACAGACCGATGTATGGAGGCAGAACCTGCAGCTTTGACCTTTAATCAGCTCAGTGTTGCTTTACACCCCCTCGAGTGTCTGATGACAAACTGCTTAAAGACGTAAAAGTATAAAATAGGTAGTTTCATGTTGAACTACCTGGAATATTACAGAGAGGGGATCTTCAAAGGGCTGCAGGGAGCTTTTAAGGTGTTTCTAATCCACCGTCGTTATGCAACCATCATTAGACTCCAACGCAGACACAGAGGGCGGCTTGTTTTCGTCTGCTAGACATGTTTCCTGATGTTCCACTGGTCCTTAAACACAACAGTCCCTCACAGCCAATCCATTACTCACCCTCAGTACACCAGAGACTCTTTTCATTACTGTCAGTCACCTTTTCTGTGACTGTACACAGAAATAACATTAAACAACCTGAGATTACCTTATAAACTCCAGATCCAGAGTTTGGAGCGTTTAGTTTTCTCAGACACAATTATGGTTTTGTGACAAATGAAGCTGGATTATCAACATTTAAAAAAAAAAAAAAAAATAATGCTTTTACCTGTTTTTATTTATATTTTTAATTAACCATTTATTATTTCTTAATTTTTCATAATAAAACAAAATCTGCTAATTTTTTCTGGATAAACAAGTTATTATCTCATCATTTTGAGAGTTTTTCTCAATAGAAAAATTCTGCTCAGTGTTTCTGAGTTAAACAGTTACTATCTCATAATTCTGAGATAATTTTTGAAAAAATCGGCTCGGTTTTTATATATTAACAAGATACCTCCAGGAGCTGGCTCTCTGCCCCCCTGAGTCTGACCCAAAGCCCCTAACATTGGGGCTTTACTCAGAAACCTTATCTCAGAATTATGAGATAATGACTTGTTAAAACATTTTTAAATGAATGGAATACGCTTCCATATTCTTGGCTTCCATTTACAAACTATCTGAAACACAGAAATCTTGGACAGCTGGTAACATTTCATTAGTACTGGTTGGTTTTTTGTGGCTCTGGGCATATAGTCTGTGCAATGCATTTAATGGGAACTTTAGGTCTGGGTTCGGAGGGTAAGGGCTCAACAACACATTTTCTGTCCATGCAAAGAGTAAATGCTTTCAAAGTAAACAGAAGATAACAGCATTCACTCCCCTCTTAAAGAATATGACTAAGAATATGACTGAAACAGGGCCGATAAAGATGTTGCATGCTCAGCAAAGCCTTCCTCTGGATAAACAAAGCTTGAAGAAATGAAAAATATGTTTTGGTTCTCAGGTTTTGTTAATTATGGCCTTTTGTGCAACCTAAATCAGCCACACATGAAAAGCTCTGGCTGCTTTGGCTTGTGGTTTTGGTTCATGCAGCGGAAAGTTAACATTCAGAACATCATTGTATCAATGCTACTGAAAGTGGGCCCTCTCGTAAATCCTGCCTACTCACTTACGGAAAATCGTAGTGGAAATATTTCTGCTGTTGCTCATACTTTCTATTTTTCACAGATGTGTCTTTCTAGTAGACATAATTGAGGCACAGACGCCACTCTTACAGTAAAAGCTCATTCTCTGATCATTGCGCTTGACAAAACAAGCTGTTAAAACTTTTACAGTCGTGTGTACGTAACCTGTATTTCTGGCAGAGAAAGCAGGTCATGTAAGCAGAGGTTCGGTCAGGCTGCCAAGAAACTGTCAGACCACCAACTGAAAGTTTCTGCGCCGTCATCTCTGAATCACTGAGATATTTTCACCAAAACAAAAACCCCAAACCTCTCTCCTATTCTGGCTCTGAAATGCAAGTCATTTGGTGAACATTCAAAGCTTTTTGTGACTATATGGGGGTAAGAAATCTCTGGAAGAGTTCAGAGAGAAAGGTGGAGACAGAGAGCTAGATAACAGAGCTCCAACCGAAATGTTTTCCTTCTTCAGAGATTGATTGCAGCCTTTCCTGTCTGTGTATCCTCAGTGTCTTGGCTGCAAGCTGTGACTGGAAGCTCAGAGCAGAGCAGAGGCCAGGAGAGGTCAAGACAAATTGTATTAAAACCTGCATGTTAAAGGTCATATGTATCATATTTAGATTGTGAGCGTGTGAGTCGCTCCGTGTGCAACTGTTGGCTGTGAGGAAAGCAACAGAAGGTTTTTCTTGTTTAACTCTGTGAATTAAGGATTTATTTCCACTAAACCAGAGTTGGTGATTGTTGGAAACACTAACAGAGACGGTTTTGGTGAGTTTTATTTTGTTTCTGTCCACTTTGAATGAAATTACGATATTACGATGATATGCAAGGTAAAAGTACAGTTTTTGTGTCTCTGGAGTCTGGTGGATAGTGATCCTTTCAATTAGAGAGAGAGATACTGGTGCTCCAGTGCAGCCTCTAGCAGCAGTGAATCTATATAACCTTTAAACTCAATCACAGATTTGAACCATAGACTCTGTGTCTGTTACCATGGCTAAGCGTGTTTGTAGAAGCTCCTTCTTACCTGCCTCAATTTCCTCAGGTGTTTTCTTCTTCTTTGGTTTTGTCTTCTCTTCCACCACTTCAGCAGGCTCGTCCGACATCTCAACATCCCCTTCCTCCCCCCGTCTCCTGTGCTCCACCAGTCCCCGGGCTTCTCCCACCTGAGCCGGGCCTCTGGAGAGTTTGTCCTCCCTCATATCTTCTCGAGTCCAGACCAGAGCGCAGCACAGGGTCAAACCCACCCAGACGACCAGCACCTCAGCCCTCATTTCTCCAATGGAAAACACAACGCTGACGAAGATGAGACGAACTCCAAGAACTCCCCTGAACTCCCCTGAACTCGACTTAGCTGTAAAAATAACTAATGACAAACATCTGACCTGCAGATGCACAGATTCAGCTGTCTCGAGTCACCAGACTTTGAGGTCCTTAAGAAGTCTCAGAAGACTTGAAAGGGTCTGGAGAGAACAAAAGGATGAGCTCGTGGAGGTCTGGAGAGCTTCCTCCTCTCTGATGGCGAGTCAGCATGGAGAGAGGGAGAAACAGTTGTGGGCTGGAGGTTTTAAAGCAGCCTCCTGGTCGTGCTGCAGCGGAGGAAATACATCTGTCTGGAGTGGATTTTCTCCAGCAGCAACAGCCACAGCAGAGTAACACACCTCCCTGTCTCCTCCTCCTCCTCCTCCTCCTCTCCCACATACTCCTCAGTCAGATCTCTCCCTCATGGCCCTTCACCCCCTTTTCCCCTCACCCATCTCTGAGCTGAGGGGAGGAGCATCTACCACATGTGACATTCCTATGAGGAAAGAAAGAAAGAAAGAAAGAAAGAAAGACTAAAAGAGTGCAGTTGATGTGGATGAGAACTCAGTGAGGATGAGTGAGGACATTAAATGGTAGAAGACATAACTTGAAACGAGTTTTTTAAGTGAATATGAGGTTGAAGGCAATGGGGCCCAATAAAAGGGTTAATTGTGCAAAGTTTTAGTAGTTTAAAGTAAGAATATTATGTGACTTTTAAAACAAAAAACTTGCCCAAACGTCTTCTTCTTCTAAATGAAAAGCTGAACTCCAAAGAGATTTCTCAATTCACAACACTCAGTGGTTTTGGTTTAGCTGCTGCAGGTTTACTTGGTCTGGTATGTTTAAAGCTGCATTAATGGATTTTTTGGGGCACTTGGGGACAGCGGAAGAAGCCGTGAACACAACATTATCCGTATTTCCATCTTTCTTTCTTCTATCTGAGTTTCACGGCCAGCATAGTTTCTCTGAAAGTGAGCTGTATTCAGTTGGTTGCAATCTGCAATGTCACCACTAGATGCCACTAAATCCTACACACTGGTTGTTTTATCAGTCCCTCCAGGATTCGCTGGCTTTTCTTGGGACCTTTTCCAAAACATTGCAATGGGTGTTTTTAATGTTTATGGACAGTTTTTGTACAATTAAAACTTCCATTTAAGAAGAAATTCCAGTAAGAACAAATTTGCCCTTAAAATCAAACATGTCAGGTGGCTCCGACTGGTCTGAGGGTCATTCTGGACTCTGGAGGACTTCCTCTGCAAGATAACGTGTCCTGATTATTAGTGTTGATCCGATTTACCAGAGCAGACTCTCCAAAATCTTCAAACTGGATTCAGGAAAAACTCCATTCAGATTTGCAGCCTTTAAAACATGCATGACAAGTTTAAACAATCTCATGTTAAAAAGACCTAGATGAGGATGTTACATAATACTTTTTAGGTTAGTGTTCGGTCACCGATTCGGTCACACAGCATTACTCAGTCAGAAAAACTGTTACCAGATGTGAGGTTTGAAGTATTTATTCCTGGGTGAACAAACTGAGTCACGTTTTAAGTCAACAGAGGGACATTCTGTTCTGCTCGGTCATCTCTCCATCAGCGGATCATCGGCATTAATTAGACAGTAAGACAATCAAAGATGTTAAAGTGCTGTTACTGTCACGCAATGCAGAATACAACAGGAGGTTAATGTGATAAAAGACGTGCGTTCAGACTGCGGATCACTTCAGGACCGGTACCTGTTGGGCCGTGATCAGCCAAAAACAATCAGTTCAGATTCTGAACTAAATGCTAACGCTAGCATGACAGCGTGCTCACAGTGACAATGCTAACGTGCAGAAGTTTAGCAGGTATAATGTTTACCATGTTCACTATCTTAGTGTAGCATGTTAGCATGCTAACATTTGTTCATTAGCTCTAAACACAAAGTACAGCTGAGGCTGATGGAAATGTAATTAGTTTTGCAGTAAGTATTGGAGCATGCTGATACAGAACATACAGAATCACTGAACCGCTAACATGGCTGTATTGTTCTGAACAGTGCTTGAATTGGACCACAAAAGGTGCCCTAATCACAACATGACCCTAATTATTTTGCCTTTTTTTTTAATGCATTTCAGCAAGGACGTTTTCAGTGCTGTTTTCTTAGTGTTAAGCTAGCGATGTGTTTACTTGGAGCAGCAGTTATGTGGGTGTTTAGGAGGTCAGCAGCATTCCTGCACGCAGGGTTTTAGAAATCAAAGCATCAAAGTTCATTTTAGGGAGTTACCGGTATGTCACAACTTTTTATTGTATACTCCTTGGAAAAAATCCCAACGTCCGGTGACCTCAGTGGAGGGTACGACCACGGCTTCACCAGAGGGGCAAGGTACTCATGACACAAACCCAGAAGTGCCCATGTTCGAGGCACTGAACCCTAGAGTCAGATAGACGAGTTTACATTATCTTAATTGA